CTGGAGGAGCTGTGGCACTTTCAGGAGAAAGCTCACCGCCTCTTCCCTGTCCGTGTGATCTGGCATCCAGGCCCTCTCAGGGGTGAACTCAGGCTGGGATGTTGCTGGCCGAGGCCTGAGGGCTTGCCCTGGGGAGCTGGGGTGGTGCTTGGCGGCTACAGGCCCCACATTAGTGCCAGGGAGCAAGAGGCCTGCCCTTGTTGAATGCATGTTGCTGGCACACTGCATAAAGGTGTCTTGTCTGTGTCACATGGCCTCTCTGAAGGGTAGGCCGTGTGACCCCATCTTACGGGTGAGAGAGCTCAGGTTCGGAGATCCTGCCTAAGGCAACACAGTCGGTCACTGCAAAAGCCAGGCTCACCTTTCTGACTCCAGAGCACGTCCGTCTCACTCCCGCTCACCCACTCCCCAAATATCATGTGAAGTGAAGGATCTGGGGGCCTTTGCCTAAAGAAGGTGGTGGTATTTGCTGAGCTACAGGTTTCAGAGATGTTGTCATGAACGAGAAGGGATAGGTTTTTTCTGCGCTTTGACCCACAGCAGAACAAAGAGGCCTGGAAGATTCTGGAACGAATTTGAGAACATCTCCAGGAAACCCTTTCTCTCTGGGCAGGTCAGCAAGGAAATGACTGTCATGGGGACCTTACAGGGCCTGGAGATTCTGTGACTCCTGCCCTGTGCCCCCAGCTCCTGCTGGAGGTGGAGCCCTGAGCTGGGGAGGGACTGGCCGGGTGGCCCAGGTGGCAGTGAGCGTCGTGGTCAGGGGAAGCCAGAGGCACTCCTATTGGGTCCCTGCAGCCCTGCGGCAAGACTGTTTTCTATCTCCCTTGTCTGAGGGGCCCCGTGGAGAGCGCTCACAGTGGGGTGGGGGCGGGCTGTGAGGTGGGAGGGTTACGTGGAGGCGGCATGAACAGCGTGGGCTCTAGAGGCCTGACTTCTTAGCCTGGCTCCAGCGCTTCCTGGCTGATGTCCTTGGACAAGGTACTCGACCTCTCCACACTTCATCTTCCTCATCTGTGAGATGGAGATAGTAGCACTCAACTCAGACAGCTATTGTGAGTTAAATAAATTAAAGAGCTTAAGTCAGCAAGCGTGAAACACACGTTATTAATACCTAAAAAACCACCATCATCAACAAAACGACCCGGCAGAGCGGTCCCGAAGGCCGACATCCCTGCAAACGCCCCCGGTGCTGGGAATATCTCAGGCAGACGAGGCCCCTGGGAGCTCCCATAGGTGCAGAACCGCCTGCTGAGTCACTTTCTCCCCTCCCACGCCCACCTCATCCAGTCAGGCACGGACACGGGACACGGGAGCGTCATGTGAACCAGCGGCAGCAAACTCAGGCCCCAGCTCTGTTTCTTAACAGCTGCATGTTCTTGAGTTTCCCCTCTGCGCTGTCCCCACGGCCGCGGGGGGATCACACGTGGAAGTGCTTTGTGCTCGCACGTGGAAGTGCATACACACGTACGAGGGGCTCTCCTGGGCCAGTGGCCTCCCCTTCCCCTTCTCCCCAGGACGGCCGGGGCGGAGCCACATCCCAGTTGCCAAGCCCTGAGGGGAGGACAGCATCTGACTTCAGGGCATTCAGCTGTGGGGCTGTTTCCTGAGCGAAGAGAGCAGAGCCCAATGTGAGCGCTGCCTGCCTTCGCCACAAGGCTCCAGGCACGGGAGCGGAGGAGACTGCAGGCACCTCGCTGAAGGTCAAGGCCTTAGTGTGTGTCAGCCTGGAGGTGCGACAGGTCAAGGCCTCCTTGGAAGCCCTTGTAGCAAGGCAGGGTACAGAGCTCCTGGTGGACACGCAGGAGTTCTAGAGAGCAGTTAGAGGAAGTATACGTACGAATCCTTCAGTGGAGCAGTCAGTCCTGCTCCTGGGCACGCATCCAGAGACTTTTCCACACCGGCCCCTAAGGACAGACGGAGGCCACCTGGGTGTCATTGCTGGCAGAGCAGAGAGGCAGAGAGTGGTGGGTGCACAGCATGGTATACTAGGCAGAAGTCAAGCAGATGGGTTGGATGCTCACAGGCCTCGTGGATGGGTTGTGAAGCATGGCTCAGTCGGTAGCACTGTCACTATTGGTCACTAATGCCCTTCCCCACAGAAGGGAACCAGGACTTCTTGGAGAAATGGCTGATTCCAGGGCTGGGGCAGGGAGGGCTCAAGATGAGTCATATCCCAAATACGACTTTGACATGGTCGGGACCGTGTCAAAAGACGCAGGAGCCAGACTGAGGGTCTCCCACTAGCCAAACCTGGGACAATTTGAGCATCAGAATAATGAGATACAATAATGAATTGTAAACCCCTAGAAACACAGGAACCATACTGACAATAAATAGGAAAGTGGGAGACAGGAGAAGGCTCTTGCTTACACTATAGGGTGTCCCAAAAGTCACCATACACAGGGAAAATGGGAAATTGTAGCTAAATGTACCTTTATTTACAAAATATTCATTACAAACTTTTTCCTTTGTATGGAGACTACAAAGAATCAAGTCTGGACTCAGCTTACTATGAACTTGTGACCTTAGGCAAGTTACTTGACCTCTCTGGGCCTTGTGTCCTTTAATGATAATATCTAACATTCATTCAATACCGCGCGTAGTACACAGATTGTCTTATTCATCCTGAAACAGTCCTGCGAGGTATGTATTGTAATAGTATTGTTACCCTGGTGTGAATTTCATAATTTGCTTTTAGCCACACGGCTGTCACATGGCGGACCTGGGAACTGGACTGCAGACTGAGTGATCCCAAAGGTTAGGTGGGAAGAACCAAAGTGTTACCAAGTGTTAATACAGCTGCTGCCTTATTCTGGTCCTTTCTTTAGAAAATTGAGATGCAGTTCATATAACATAGAATGAACCACTTAAATTAATCACTTAAAGTGTACAATTGGTGGCATTTAGTACATTCACAATGTTGCACAGCCATTACCTCTGTCTAGTTCTGAAACGCTTCCATCACCCCAAAAGAGAAGCCATAGCATTAAGCAGTCACTCCCCAATTTAGTTCTCACACTACCTGTTGAGGAAAGAGTCATTATTTCCATTTTCAGGATTAGGACACTAGAGTACAGGGAAGCAATAAAAGCTAGTAGAGAGTGAAGCTGGGCTTCAGCTCAGGCCTGTCTGTGAAGTCCTGAGTCTGTGACACTAGGCTACTCGGCCTCTTCACTTATAACTCAACATATCGGACCTTGAGTTAACTAGTAGATCATTGCTTTGTATATGTTACAATGCGGCATTTTTGGTGAGTTTTGGGAAATACCCTGGTATTATTATGTAAGTTAAGTAGATGACAATTTGAAACTTGATTTGCAAATTCTATCCATTAAATTATGGAAACTAGAGCTGTAACAAGAGAAAAGCTTGTTTTGATTCCAGATAACATTCAATCTCTGGTTGATGATCCAAATTAACATAGTCTGGAACTTCCCAGATAGCTCGCACGGGGCAGCGATGGAGGAAGGACACATTATGGAGAGTCCTGATTAGGTTTAAATTTTAATTAACCTCCCTTAGCTAGACAGGGGGTAGCCATGCCTCCTCCGTGGGGGCTCTTCAAGGTCATGATGGACCAGATGATGTGATAAAGAATGGCCCCACAGTTAAGAAGAATTTCTTAAGCAGAGTCCTATGGATTAAAAAAAAAAAAAAAAAATGGAGGCCGGGCACGGTGGCTCACGCCTGTAATCCTAGCTCTCTGGGAGGCCGAGGCTGGCGGATTGTTTGAGCTCAGGAGTTTGATACCAGCCTGAGCAAGAGCGAGACCCTGTCTCTACTAAAAAATAGAAAGAAATTAATTGGACAACTAAAAATACATAGAAAAAAAATTAGCCAGGCATGGTGGTACATGCCTGTAGTCCCAGCTACTCGGGAGGCTGAGGCAGGAGGATCGCTTGAGCCCAGGAGTTTGAGGTTGTTGTGAGCTAGGATGACGCCACAGCACTCTAGCCTGGGCAACACAGTGAGACTCTGTCTCAAAAAAAAAAAAAAAAAAAAAAAATGGAAAGAAAAGAAGAAATAAAAAAGAGAGTGAAAGAATTTCCATAGGTCACTATATGTAGCCTCCTCTCTCTTAGCAAGATTATTCTTAACTTCATACACATAATATTCTTTGCTTTTTTATAGCTTTGTTGAGATATAATTCACATACTGTACAATTCACTCGTTTAAAGTATACAATTCAGTGGTTTTTGGCATATTACATTATTAAAATTTTAAGTTGTGATAAAATATACATAACATAAAATTTGCCATTTTAAACACTTTTAAGCATACCCCCTAAGTGCATTAATTACATTCACAATGTTTTGCAGCCATCACCATTATCTATTTCAAAACTTTTTCATCGCCCCAACAGAAACCGTAGCTGTGAAGCAATAACTCCCCACTCCCCGTGCCCTAGTCCCTAGTCACCTCTGTTCTACCTCCTGATTCCTTCCATGGGTTTGGCTACTCTAGCTGCCTCATGTAAGTGAATCGCACAGTGTTTGTCATTTTGTGCCTGCCTCTCATTAGCACAATGCTTTCGAGGTTCATCCATGTAGTAGCATGTGTCAGAATTTCATTTATGTTTATGGCTGTGTAATATTCCATCACATGTTTTGTTTATCCAGTCATCCGCTGACGGACATTTGGCTGTTGTGAGTAGTGCTGCTATGAACATTCACGTAAAATATTTGTCTGAATACCTGTTTTTAATCCTTTCAGCTCTGCTTAGGAGTAAAATTACTGGGTTATACAGCAATCCCATGTTTAACTTTTTGAGAAGCCTGGTCCTTATTTTTTAGGATACTTTCCTCCATTTGTAATCTCCTGGTGACCACGGTGGCCCCTGGCACAGGGCTGGGCACCAACAGCTGAGCCCACGTGCAGTGGGTGTTGGAGAGCTGCTTCTTACCACTGGGTACTCAAAGTCTTCCTGGCCCAACATCCTTCTTCTCTGCCTGCTCCTTACCCCAGCCCCTCTAACCTGTCCCCTCTGTCCCCAACAGATGTGCCCGTGGAGAAGCTGGCCGCCATGCCAGCCTTGCGCTGCATCGACCTCCGCTTCAACCCACTCAACGCAGAGGTCCGTGTCATTGCCCCGCCACTCATCAAGTTTGACATGCTCATGTCTCCGGAGGGCGCCGGAGCCCCTCCACCGTAGGCCACCGTCCTCATGCCCACCCAGCAAGGGACAGAGGCCACTGGCCTGGCACCCTGAAGGCAGGGAGGCCAAGCTTGGGGGGCCGGGGGCGGGTGGGCCGTACAGCGTGTGGTGGGCGGGGGTGCAGCCGGTCCAGGATAGATAGCTTGCGGCAGTAGTGGACTGGGAATGCCCAAGGGAGGGGGCGAGGTGGGGGCTGCAGCCTGGACTCTGGCACTCACAGCTGCTGTGCAAACTTGGACAGATCTCCTGCCCTCTCTGAGCCTTGTTACTTGGAGAAAGGGCAGGGAGCTTTTGCCTCCTTTGAGTGCCTTGGAGGTTGTTCAGGCAGTACATGCCTCCAAGTTGCCTCCAAATCATCCGGCAGCTCTGAGCCCACAGAGGAGCACTGCTGAGCATGTTCTGGGCCCCTGCGGCTTTGAGGCCTTGTTTCTAGTACTAAGAGCCAGTCGCTGCCCTGAGAGGAGTAGAAGACAACCTCCATCTATTTATTGCTTCCTGAGAACCAACCTGGATTCGACCCTCCGCAGGGCCCATCCTCAGCCCTGTGGGTCCCTGGCTTGGCAGGATGGTCGGTCCCCTGCCAGGAGAGGGCCTGGGGCTCTTGCTTCCTGGTAACACCCGTGGTGGGGAGAACCCTGACCTCTGATCTGCCAGGTATCTACCTCCCACCTCCTCCTCCTCCGTGGAGCAAGCAGACTCAGACTGCCCCAGACCCCACCTGGTCTGCACCTTTGCCTGGGTCTGTAGAGGCACCTGAGGCCCCAGGACTTGGGGCAAAGCCAGGCCACCCAAATCCTGTGTCCTGTGGGCCAGTGGTCACTTTACCACTCCTAGGGTTAGGCTGTTCTGAGCTTCGACCGCTGCTCAGCGCAGTAAGCCTTTCTCGGAACACTCCTAGCTCCCTTCCCCCTGCCCACGTCTCCTGTCTCTTGGCACAGAGCTGACAGGTTGGGCCAGTGTTGGCCTGCCACCGAGTGCTCTGTGCCCAAGAGAGACTTGTTCACTCTGTTCATATCCCAAGGTTGCTTGGTCAAACTCTGGGAAAAGGGTGTTCAGGGTCAGGAGGTCAAGACAGGATCTCCAGAGTTCCCGAGTCCAGCTGTGGATGGTGGAGGCAAGTAGAGGCTAAAGTCCTGTCCAGGCTGGGCGGGCCCCACCTACCCTGTGTCCTGGTGTGGGGTTTCTCCTTGTTGAAAAAGACGCACACTTTTGTGATATGCACAAAGGCGAAATACGGCCAGAGCCTCCCAACTCCAGGAGTGGTCTGTGGACCGGCAGCAGCAGCAGCAGCGTCACCTGGGAGCTTGTTAGAAATGCAGATTCTCAGGCCCCCCCCAGAACTGCTGGCTCAGACCCTGCATTTTAGATAGATCCCCAGCTGACTCCTACAAGCACTTTACAGTTTGGGAAGCAAGGGCCTGGGGGTCACCCTGGGGATGACCTTGAGGTAGAAGGTGAATGTTCTCTGTTTTCCCCCTGCCACCTCCAGGGAGTTGAGTCTGTGCTCAGCCCCCTCCCTAACCCAGCCGTGGGAGACCCTTGGCCTCTTAGATCTTTCCAGAGTCTTCGTGACACTCCCAAGGAAGGGAGTGACCCGCAGTCACAAGGAGATGAGGGTTGGGTGTGCCTGGCCCTCTGGACCCTGCCTTTCTGGTTAACCCCTGCATGCCAAGCCGCCTGCTTACCCAGGTCCTCACCTCGGGCCCTTTGAAGGGGTTGCTTCTGGAAGTTGTTTTCTACTCTGCTGGGAGAGTTGCCCTTGCCTCTCTGGGAAAGCTTGGGCAGTCAGCAAAGCCCCAAGTCAGAGCTCACTGTGTGAGTGAGCGTCTTAGCTTCAGTCTGCAATAAAGAATGTGTTGGTTTCAACTGCCTGGTTGGTGTCTGGTTCATTCTCGCTGTACAGACCTCCTGTAGCCTGGCTGTCAAACTAGCCTACAGGCAAGAGGGGCTGTCCCTTGTGTTGAAAGCACGAAGTAGAGAAAGCTAGACTGGGGGCTACTTGGGTTGTCCACAGGAGGGGATAGGCACAGCCAAGCAGAGTCGGCACAAGACTTGTGGCTCCGTGCTGCACATGGGGGGTGGGGAGCTATAACTGGGAAGGCTGAGGAGACCCACTGTCTCCAAAGTTCTCCCTCACTGGTGCCAGAAGTTACACCCTTAATTTGTCCCTCTGGGTCCCTGGTTATCCAAGAGGGGTCTCTAGACCAGCATCAGGACCACCAGAAAGCTGGTTAGAAATGCAGGTTCTTGGCGCCCCCCCAGATACACAGGATCAGAAACTCTCTGTTTTAACAAGGTCTCCAGGTGATGCTGAGGCGTGCTCAAGTTAGTCACTGTTCTGAGTTTAAGGTTAAAGCTGGGTTTTGTCTTTTCAGTGAGAGACTAGCTTAAGTTTGCCTTGAGTTTTCTGCCAGACACTCCATTATTTTTATTTAACAAACACATACAGAGCTTAGTGGATAATGTGCTTAGGCAGGCCGTGTCTAAGCACATTACAGATACTAACTCATTTAATCCCTGTAACAATCCTAGCTAGCTTTGTGATTTGGACAAATCTCGTTCCCTCTGCAGGCCCTGTTTCCTGTCTGTAAAATGAAGGGGCTGCACCAGGGATCCGCAAGGGCTTTCTGGAACTCATACGGTCACTATCTCTCCACTCTGAGGGCCCTGCTGTCACTCTGAACTTCCCCTGTGGATCAGCCTAGACTCAGGGTGCTGCTCTCCCCAGCCCAAAGGGCAGAGAGAGGACTCCCCGCTGCACAGTGTCCTGTTGGATGCTGGCCCCCCAAAGTCCCCCAGCTCAACCTGCTCGTCAGACAAAGCTGGTCCTACCCTTCCTGCTGTGAGGGACAGCTCTGCCTCTTCCCTCGTGTGTCCGGCTGGGAGGGCAGTCAGGAAGTGAGCAGATTTCAGAGTCTGGTTTTAGGTGGGGCTTTCAAGGCAGGGGAGGAAGCCTTGATTAGGATTGGGTGAAACTCATGACGTAGTTTAGAATGGGTGGACACAGCAAGGGGGAATTTTGAGGCAAACGGTTCAAGAGTTTTTTGATGCAACAAAAAGTTGAGCAGTTTGATGTTGCTTTAAATGATTCTTTCAGAAAGCTCCTGGAACGAACAATAAAGTTATTAATATTTACAACTTTTACTTCCTGGGCAAAGTTTCCTGGAATAGTACAGTCATGTCGGAGAGGATGGTGGAAGAATGGAGTTAACGTAGACAGTAAGCTGGGTGAGGCTGGAGGGCTTTGATTGTGAGTCTCCCCAAAATACCATGTTGGACCCCACAGCCCTGCTTTGCAGCTATCTTTACATGAAATGTGCTGTGCCTTCGCAGAAAGCCAGCGCTGGGGGACAGGGAGCAGTTCTTGGCAGGGCAAGAGTTGGCAGCTGCCCTAGAAGGTCTCAGCGGAGCTCTGGGCGAGATGCCAAGGCCAGGAGGGTGGGCCTGGGAAAAGGGCGTGACTCGGGGCCGCTGGGCAGGAAAGACTTTCGGCCCATGAGCAGACAGGCCATGCCCTGCATGTCTCAGGGCCAGACAGGCCAGATCCGTGCCTGAGAGAAGGGACACAGCCCAGCTGCGTTAGGTCCAAGCAAGAGCACTACGGAGCTCCTCGTGTTCATTGGCACTGGGCAGGCACGGGGATGTTTTCTCATTTCCTATTAGCAACAGCCGTCTTGGTGCCCACTCTATGGATGAGGAAACAGGCTCGGAGCATTGGCACATGACTAGGATGGAGCAGGGTTGGGGTTTGTTTCACCTGGGCTGCTTTGCTGCTGTGAGCCCAGGGTCTTTGCCACGAGCCCTAGGCCTCTGAAGAGGGCAGCGGGGACAGGAGAAGTGGTCGATTGCATTCTCCAGCTGACACAGTCCTTTTCCCATCACATTCCTGTGAAAAGGCCTCTCTGAGCCTTTACTTTCCTCATCTGTAAAATGGGTGCCAACACGACCTTCCCTAATGCCATAGGGTTAGCAACAGATGAGGTAGGTCAGCACATCAGCATCATGCCCGTTTCACACGCCTGAGAGCTTCCTCACACCTCTGCTTATGCTGCCCTGTGCGGGCACAGCCTCCTCGGCACAATGCAGAGCTGCGTGCTGCACATCCCCGGAGCGCATCTGCACACCCATGGGAGATTCCGTCCCACGGGGATGAGAAGACTGACAGCTCCCGCTCACTCCATCTTTGTAGTTACGGAATCTACAAAGGTTCACCGCAGGCCTTGGAAGACAGCTAATGATGCGGGATGATGAAGAACTCAAAGCCTTGGCCAGGAGCCACCTGGGGCCTGTGCTGCTCTACTTGTGTACATCCAAATCCACACAGCAGGGGCAGCCGGCACCCTCCCTCCTGTAGGTGGAGGCGCTTAAGTTAGGGTTCCTTCCAGGGGGGACCCTGTGGGACTGCCTCGGTGCCCACTCCAGGGGTGTCATTCGCAATGCGTCTCAGATAGAAAACAATGAGAACGCGCCCCCTGGAGGTGTGCAAGCGGTGGTAATGCATCTCTACACTGTTTACAAGAGAATCAATCATGGGGGCTTTTAAAGATGCAGATTCCCAGGCCCACCTGAGCCCCCAGTAAACCAGACTCTGGAATTAGGGCCCATAGCTCTGCACCTTAAAAAGTCCCTATTTATCCTTCACCCAGCACCTAGAGGATCCTTTTAAATCCTAAGTCACTCGCCTGCTCCAAGTCCAGCAGTGGCTGTCCATTTCCTTCAACGTAAGCCAAGGCCTTACAGTGGTTTTCAAGGCCTGGTGGCATCTGCCCTCTGTTACTTCTCCGGTGTCTTTCGTACTCCAAACACACTGGCTGCCAGCTGCTCCTCAACAGCCCAAGGTGCCCACGCCTCGGGGCCTTTGCATTTGCCCCCGCCCAGATATTCCCCTGGCAACTCCCTATCTCCTTCCAGTCTTTGCTCCAGTCCAGGCCTACCCTAACCACCCTACTGCAGCCTGCTCCATTCCAGCCCAGCCACTTTTATCTCCCTGAATCTGC